GTAATTTGCTTATTACCACTCACTATTGTTTGTCACTTAGGTTTTTTCCAAATTTATTTTTTATAAATAATGTTACAAAGTTTCCTTGGCATAATGCTTTTTCTATACTTCTTTAGGAAAGCTTTTTAGAAATTGGGTCAAAGGATAATTATGTCTTTTCGCTTCTGGTATACACGTATATATATTAATTGCTTTCCAAGAGGTGTACCAATTTAAATCCACTTGTAAGAAAATAGGTTTCTGCACACCTTCAGGAATGTATCATCTCACCTTCATGATCATTATCATTCTCAGAGTCTCTAGAGCATGGATCTGAAAGATTCATATTGGAAGTAGTCATTATAAGTGTAGTAATAGGGGTAATGGTTAATATTTGCCATAAAGCTTTTGCATAGTTCTGTGAGAGTACAGTACCATATATTAAACAGGAGTCAAGTTTAATTTTTCTTATTCTAGAAAAGAATAGGTTTGTATCACTCAAATCAAATAAATATTTTGGTCATGTCTACTACATGGCACTGTAGTAGAAACTGGAGAGTATGATGGATTATAAGAAGCTTATAGTTTGGTTGGAGAGGTAGAGTACAAAAGTAGTTCAGTAACATTATATTTAAATAAGTTTCAGAAAATAGTAGAAGAGTGTTTTAATGGTTGGTACAAAATTATTTTTCAAAGAAGCAATGTGGAATATAAAGTTTCTAGCAGTAGGGAGAAATAACTTCAGGTTAGGATGAGATTTATTTCCTAATTATAGAACTTACTATATACATAGGAAACTTAGAAGAAAAGGCTTTGTCTTAACATTATTCAAGTCTTTGAATAATAAAATGTAAGAATTTAAAATATTCTGATGTTTAATTAGTGTTTATAACATTTGACCACTAATATGGTCACTAATAGGTCCCATTTCTAGATTACGGTTTTTCTTTTTCTTTGTCTACTTCGAAATTCACTTCTAATGAATCAGCTTGTGATAGTCTATACTAGTACAGAATAAATTCATCTGTTCAGAGAGTGGTTATTTGTACCTGTGGTTCATATAAGTCTTTTATCAGGGCTTTCTTTCCTTGGTCAGGATTCCTTGTACATCTACTGTAATGTAACAGTGAGTCAACTGGTACTACATTCTTTGTCTAATATCTATCACATAGAAAAATATCTTTCTTGGTAGAATATTATTTATGCTAAATAAATATCACTATCAACATTGGCAGCCCAGTTTAGTCAATGCTATGAGTGAATTTCCATCTTATTACTTGGAAGAGGTCAATTCACTTTTATTCAAGGTCTATATTTTATACACACACACATGCACACATACACACACATTTTGATGGTGCTTTAAAAAATATCATACTTGACGAATTTATGTAAGATGGGGAAGATTTTACATTCAACCTGAAAAATTTCAGAATCAGCCTCCCAGAAAGCGAAACAGTTCCATATTCAGAAGAAAGACAAAACAGGGAGTTTTCATTATTGTGAATATTCATCACACAAGCAAAAGTTCTCATGGCATAAAATACTAAAAATACATCACTCAATAATTATTCCCTATTCAAATACTCCTCCTTGCTCAACATTAAAGAGTCTGTCCTTACCCACTATGACAAAATTTTGTTGGCCTTTCCTTAATCATTGGATGTTGTATCTGTTTTTTTAGGATGCATTTTAGGGCAATAATGAATATGATGCAAACTGACTCAAATACTGAGGAAAACTGCAAGATTTAATGAGGTTAATGAAAGTGATATTTGAACCCTACTCAAGTCATACATAAAGCCAGCTAGACTAGTTAAAAAGTGAAACTGATAAAATTAGCATGGATCATGACTCAAATGGGTGCTCTAAGGGAGAATAATCTGATTATCAAAGGATTAGAGAGATATTTGGGAAAATTGAAAAAATCCTCTGAATACTTTTACAAAAAAAGGAATCTCTTTAAAAGCATCCTAGAAAGTTAAACATTAAAAGCAGGGTATCATATTATATTATCAATTGTGTTAGAAATTATAAAAAATAAAAATGTCATTCATTCTTTGTTGATTTTGTTTACATAGTTAAAATCATAAACTGATTGACAGAGGGGATTAAAGATGGTGGTGTGAGAGGTGAGACAGAGACCTCCTCCTATAACCATATATAATATGAAAATAAAATTAATACAGCTAATCCTGGAAGAGCAATAGGAAAGAAGGCTGCACCAGACAGCATATACCTGGAGAAAAGAACAGATCTCACGGAATGGAGTAACATACCAAAACCGAGACCTGGTAGGACCCAAGCCCTTCCCCCATCCCACCTCATGGGTGGGAGGAAGAGAAATGGAGCAGAGAGGGAGTGGAGGCCTGGGGCTGTTGAACACCTAGCCCTGGAGATCTGCTGTGGGAGCACAAAACTACATTGCATGGTGCTCTGGTGACTAGCGGGGTTGAAAAGCAAAGACAGGTGGAATACCTGCAGAGACTGAGATTCCAGCTGCTTATGGAAAACAGGGATCTATATCCAGCTGCTCTGTGCAGGCAGTTTGGAAGACTTCCTAAAAACAAGAGGGCCACTAAAGGGGAAAGGATTGCACAGAGCTTACTGCTCAGGAGAAAGGACAGGTAGACGAAATTGTCTGGGTGCACTCTACCCAGCAGGTTGGGAACTTTCAGGATCTTCAGGCTCCATTCCCCCTGGCTGGCTATGCAGCTCCAAGGCCCCACACCATGATATGCACTCTGCTGTGCCCTTCCTCGTGGCTAACCCCCACTTGGCTCACAAACCGGCAAACCCTGCCATGACATCAGGCTAGCCAGAGGGAGGATCTGCCTACAGCAGCTACAAACACAAAGCATAGAGGTGTACACCTGTGTGTTTGGCCCACTGGTTCTGACAGTGGAGACAGGCATAGCAGCTGGGAAGGAGGAAACAGTTTTTTCCTCCCCTCTGGCACCAGCACAGCTGCCCTGTGACCCTCGACATCACTTCAGGGGCTAAGCAGCTCTAGAGAGTAGAACTTATGGGCACAAGAGAGAGCTGCATACAAATATGAAATGTCAAAGGAACCTGGTACAAAGCAAAATCTCAACACCAGAAAAAGGGTCAAGTGAGACTGAGCTAATCAATCTTCCTGAAAGACATTTCAAAATAAAAATCATAAATATGGTCCTGGAGGTACAGAAAAATATTCAAGAACTCAGGAACGAATTTAGGATGGAGATCCAATTGTTGAGGAACAAAGTGGAGGGTTTTTTTTAAACCTCCAAGGTGTTTAATATTTTACAATTTAAAGGAAAATGAACCCATTATATAAATTTCAGTAAGACCCATAACTGCATACAAAAATTGTACAGGAAAATTATGGATTGTATAGAAACTGATGTACATTAATGGTATCAGTTTTTAAGAACATTAACATTTTAACATCACTATTAACATAAACAAAAGTTCAAAAATTATTACATTTTATACCCTCAAGTTGCTGCGTTAAAAAATTCTACATATTACCACATTTAAATCAAAAAACAAATCACAGCTGTTTCTTTTGTTCAGCAGCAGTTGGTAACAAAGCATATTATCCTTCCCCAGCATGCCCATGGGGTGTACTATAATCTCAAATGAAATTTCTCTCTTGAAAAAATGTCTCTTAGGAGATATTAAAAAGAGAACTGGTGGAAATTTACCACAAAGGAACAAAATAAATGCAAGTTTTGTGTTTAATAGTGAGTAAGCTGTATCAATATTACTGTTTAGAATGGAGACTGTGTTAATGAAAAAACTGGAGATTCAACTTCTGGAATAGCTTTTATATATGAAACATGAATCCACCACTGTATCTAAAATTAAGTCTGAAATATGGATAACAAATTTAACCATAATGATTTTTCATCACACAATGAAACTTTAAAAAAGTATTCAACTGCTAAATTTGCATTAGAAATATAGGCAGATTATCTAAAACTTGAAACCATATAGTATTGTTACTAAGCTGGTTGGAGAAAAAGTATAAAGAAACATACATTTTCATTCATTTGGAAAATGTAAAAATTTATGTACTAATATATCTCTTTACTTTCTCTGATCTACAATGGATAGAATGCTTAGTTATCTTCATGCAAACACGTTGTTCAGAATTCAATAACTGAAGGAAACAATCAAACAAAAATAAACCCTGTTGGAAATACACAGACTAATCTCTTTAAAGGTTTCCATTCATCAGCAGTCTTCGATAATTTCAAAATTTGCAGCTTTAAATCTTTTATCAATATACCTAACTTCTGTCTTGCCCCCCGTTCCTGTCTGAGTTCATCTTGGAGTACCTATCAGCCTTGGCATGGTCTGATCTCTGTTTCAGTTCTGCCAACTGTGCTGCATATTCACCCTCTTTGTTTTTTTTTCAAAATTTGAGTTACAGGTACACTTTTGCTTCATTACCTGCTCTAGCTTTTTCTCTAAGTTTTTCTATTCAACATAAAATTCTTCCATTCTTTGTGCATGTTCATTCTGCAAAGATTCAAGCTCTTTCTGTAAATTCTGCTGTTCTTCAGTGAGTTCCTTCACAGCTTTTGAACTACTCAACATTTCAACTTCCATGTGAGGTTGTTGCTTCTGCAAAATTGAGCCCAGCTTTTACTGTTGTTTTACATAAGTTCTCATTGCTTCTTCCCTGATTTTTCCCTTACCATCCTCACAAATGACATCTTTGACAAGAAGTAGAGATGAGGCTGCAGCATCATGGCCAGTCAATGCCTTGCATGTGTCTCTGACTAAGTTGAAAGTGGTACACTCAGGTTTCTTTTTACTTGTAGAATTATTTGAGATTTATGGATCAAAATTGCTACACAATTCTCCACTTGTTTTTAAATCCTGTTCATGCAGTGAGACATATGGATAAGACACTAGTTTTTGATGTTCCCCAGTACTGTGAAGCTTCTCTGACTGTCTTGGTATGATCCTACTTGCCTCTGTATTTGTGACCTCCTTAGACTGGGATACAGCAGAAGTAAGGGACACATAAAAACATGAAACGCTTCACAAATTAGCATATCATCCTTGTGTAGGGGCCATGCTAATCTCTGTATTGTTCCAATTTTAGTATATGTGCTGCTGAAGCAAGCACAAGGGAGGGTTTTGAAAGCAGATTAGATATGGTGGAGGAGACAATAAATGAAATAGAAATTAGAGAAGAGGAATACAAAGAAGCTGAGGCACAGAGAGAAAAAAGGATCTCTAGGAATGAAAGAACACTGAGAGAATTGTGTGACCAATCCAAATGGAACAATATTTGTATTATAGGGATACCAGAAAAAGAAGAGAGAGAAAAAGAGATAGAAAGTGTCTCTGAAGAATAAATTACTGAGAACTTCCCCAATCTGGGGAAGGAGATAGTCTCTTAGGACATGGATGTGCACAGATCTCCCAACACAAGGGACTCAAGGAAGACAACACCAAGACATATAATAATTGAAATGGCAGAGAACAAGGATAAGGACAGCCTTTTAAAAGCAGCCAGAGAGAGAGAGAAAAAAAAAACTCATATAAAGGAAAACCCATCAGGCTATCATCAGACTACTCAGCAGAAACCTAACAGGCCAGAAGGGAGTGGCATGATATATTTAAGGCAATGAAACAAAAGGGCCTTGAACCAAGAATATTCCATCCGGTAAGATTATCATTTAAATTTGAAGGAGGAATTTAATAATTTCCAGATAAGCAAAAGCTGAGAGAATTTACCTCCCATAAACTGTCTCTACAGTGTATTTTGGAGGGATTGCTATAGATGGAAGTGTTCCTAAAGTTAAATAGCTGTCACCAGAGGTAATAAAACCACAGTAAAGAAAGTAAAACAGTTAATTACAAAGCAAATGCAAAATTAAATCAACTATTCCCCAAAGTCAGTCAAGGGATAGACAAGGAGTGCATAATATGAGACCTAATATATAAGGAATGGAGGAGGAAGAAAAAGGAGAACAACCAACAAAAGAACCTTTAGAGGGTGTTTGTAATGGCATACTAAGTGAGTTAACTTAGACTCTCAGACAGTAAGGAAGTTACCCTTGAACCTTTGGTAACCACAAATCTAAAGCCTGCAATGGCAATAAGTACATACCTATCGATGATCACCATAAATGTAAATGGTCTGAATGCACCAATCAAAAGACACAGTCACTGAATGGATAAAAAAACAAGACCAACTACACGCTGCCTACAAGAAACTCACTTCAAACCCAAAGACATACACAGACTAAAAGTCAAGGAATGGAAAAAGATATTTCATGCAACTAATAGGGAGAGAAAAGCAGGAGTTGCAGTACTTGTATCAGACAAAATAGACTTTAAAACAAAGAAAGTCACAAGAGACAAAGAAGGACATTACATGATGATAAAGGGGTCAGTCCAGCAAGAGGAAATAACCATTATAAATATCTATGCACCAAACAAAGGAGCAACTACATATGGGAAACCAATACTAACAAAATTACAAGGGGCAATAGAATGCAATGCATTCATTCTAGGAAACTTCAACACTGCACTCACACCAAAGGACAGATAAACCAGACAGAAAATACGTAAGGAGACAGAGGCATTGAACAACACATTAGAACAGATGCACCTAACAGACATCTACAGAACTCTACAACCAAAAGCAGCAGATACACATTCTTCTCAAGTGTAAGTGTACATGGAAAATTTTCAAGAATAGATCAAGAAATTTTCAAGAATAGGCCACAAAAAGAGACTCAGTAAATTCAGAAGGATTGAAATTGTACCATACAGCTTCTCCAACCACAAAGGTAATAAACTAGAAATAAATTATGCAAAGAAAATGAAAAATCCACAAACACATGGAAGCTTAACAACATGCTTTTAAATAACCAATGGATCAATGACCAAATAAAAACAGAGATCAAGCAATATATGGAGACAAATGACAACAATAATTCAACACCTCAAAAATCTGTGGGATGCAGTGAAAGCCATGCTAAGAGGGAAGTATATTGCTATGCAGGCTTACCTCAGGAAAGAACAATCTCATATGAACACTCTAAACTCACAATTAATGAAATTAGAAAAAGAAGAACAAATGAGGTCCACAGTCAGTAGCAGGAGACACATAATAAAGATTAGAGCATAAATAAATAAAATCAAGAAGAAGAAAACAATAGAAAGAATCAATGAAAGAAGGAGTTGGTTCTTCAAAAAAATAAGCAAAATAGATAAACCCCTAGCCAGACTTATCAAGAAAAAAAGAGAGTCTACACACATAAACAGAATCAGAAATGAGAAAAGAAAAATCACTATAGACACCACAGAAATACAAAGAATTATGAGAGAATACTGTAAAAAATTATATGCTAACAAACTGGATAACCTAGAAGAAATGGACAGCCTTCTAGAAAAATACAACCTTCCGAGGCTGACCCAGAAAGAAACAGAAAATCTGAACAGGTCAATTACCAGCAATGAAATTGAAATGGCAATCAAAAAACTACCTAAGAACAAAACCCCTGGACCAGATAGTTTCACTGCTGAATATTATAAAAAACTTAGTGAAGACCTAATACCAATTCTACTTAAAGTTTTCCAAAAAGTGGAAAAGGAGGGAATACCTCCAAACTCATTCTATAAGGCCAGAATCACCCTAATACCAAAACCAGGCAAAGACACCACAAGAAAAGAAAATTACAGACCTATATCCCTGATGAACATAGATGCAAAAATACTCAACAAAATATTAGCAAATCGAATTCAAAAATACATCAAAAAGATCCCTCAGGATGATCAAGTAGGATTATTTCCAGGGATGCAAGGATGGTACAATATTAGAAAATCCATCAACATCATCCACTACATCAGCAAAAAGGACAAGAAACCACACAATCATCTCCATAGATGCCGAAAAAGCATTCGAGAAAATTCAACAACCTTTCATGATAAAAACTATGAACAAAATGGGTATAGATGGCAAGTACCTCAACATAATAAAGGCCATATATGACAAACCCACAGCCAACATCATACTTAACAGAGAGAAGTTGAAAGCCTTTCCTTTAAGATTGGGAACAAGACAAGGATGCCCACTCTCTCTACTTTTATTTAACATAGTTGTGGAGGTCCTTGCCACAGCACTCAGACAACACAAAGAAATAAAAGGCATTCAGATTGGTAAGGAAGAAGTTAAACCATTACTGTTTGCAGATGTCATGCACTTAGAACACCCTAAAGAATCCACCCAAAACTACTAGATCTAATATCTGAATTCAGCAAAGTTGCAAGATACAAAATCAGTACACAGAAATCTGTTGTATTCCTATACACTAATGATGAACTAGCAGAAAGAGAAATCAGGAAAACAATTCCATTCACAATCGCATCAAAAATAATAGAATACCTAGGAATAAACCTAACCATACTCTGAAAACTACAAGACACTCATGAGATAAATTAGAGAAGATACCAATAAATGGAAGCACATCGCGTGCTCATGGATAGGAAGAATTAATATTGTCAAAATGGCCTAAAGCAATCTCCAGATTCAATGCAATTCCTATCAAAATACCAATAGCATTCTTCAACGAACTAGAGCAAACAGTTCTAAAATTCATATGGAACCACAAAAGACCCTGAATAGCCAAAGCAATCCTGAGAAGAAAGAATAAAGCTGGGGGGATTATGCTCCCTGACATCAAGCTCTAATACAAAGCCACAGTAACCACGACAACTTGGTACTGGTACAAGAACAGAACAATAGACTAATGGAACAGACTAGAGAGCCCAGATATAAACCCAACCATGTATGGTCAATTAATATATGATAAAGGAGCTATGGACATACAATGGGGAAATGACAGCCTCTTCAACACTGGTGTTGGCAAAATTGGACAGGTACATGCAAGATAATGAAACTGAATTATTGTTTAACCCCATGCAGAAAAGTAAACTTGAAATGGATCAAAGATCTGAATGTAAGTGATGAAACCATAAAACTCTTAGAAGAAAACATAGGCAAAAATCTCCTGAACATAAACATGAGCAACTTTTTTCTGAACGCACCTCCTCGAGCAAGGGAAACAAAAGAAAAATGACACTTGGGAGTACAGCAAACTAAAAATCTTCTATACAGCAAAGGACACCATCAACAGAACAAAAAGGCATTCTACAGGTGGGAGAATAGATTTGTAAATGACATATTCAACAAGGGTTAACACCCAAAATATATAAAGAACTCACACACCTCAACAACCAAAAAGCAAATAATCCTATTAAAAAATGGATGGAGGATATGAACAGACAATTCTCCAAAGAAAAAATTCAGATGGCTAACAGGCACATGAAAAGATGCTCCACATCACTAATTATCAGGGAAATGCAAATAAAAACCACAATGACATATCAACTCATACCAGTAACAATCGCCAGCATCAAAAAGACAAGAACAACAAATGCTGGTGAGGATGAGGAGAAAGGGGTAACCTCATACATTGCTCGTGGGAATGTAAACTAGTTCAACCATTGTGGAAAGCAATATGGAGGTTGGTCAAAGAACTAAAAATAGAAATATCTTTTGACCCGGAAATTCCACTTCTAGGAATTTACCCAAAGCATATAATTTCTCAGATTCAAAAAGATATATACTCCCCTATGTTTATTGCAGCACTATTTACAATAGCCAAGATATGGAAGCAACCTAAGTACCCATCAGTAGATGAATAGATAAAGAAGAGGGGTACATATACACAATGGAATACTATTCAGCCATAAGAAAGAAACAAATCCTACAATTTGCAACAACATGGATGGAGCTAGAGAATATTACACTCAGTGAAATAAGCCAGGTGGAGAAAGACAAGTACCAAATGATTTCCTTCATTTGTGTAGTATAACAATAAAGTAAAACTGAAGGAATAAAACAGCAGCAGACTTACAGACTCTAAGAAGGGACTAGTGGTCACCAAAGGGGAGGTGTGGGACAGGGTGGGTGGGGAGGGAGGGAGAAGGGGATTGATGGGTACTATCATTGGTACACATGGTGTGGGGGAGATCATGGGGAAGACAGTGTCCACAGAAAAGGCAAATAGTGACTGTGGCATCTTACTATACTCACGGGTAGTGACTGCA